ATCGTCCAAGGGGGGCGGTGACTAGTAATAAGGGGGGCGGTAAATAGTAGCGCCCTTTTTTTTTCAACAAACATCAAATAAACTTCATTTTTTTTTTATCGTTAAATGTAAATATATATGGATCAAAAATGGGTACAAGGACCGGCATACAAAAGCGTAATGGGTAACCACAAGACGGTTGGCACGCTGTCGTGGCGCGGTTCCGTCGTGGAGAGGGCTTGTCATGTTAGCGGCGCTTTGCGGCAGAGCGGCGCTAGGGAGGACATTAGCGGCGTTATAGGCACAACGGCGCTTCAATGTCAAGGCATCTACTCTCAGCCCCTCGTTAGTCCCTCACTGCGGAGAAAGCGGCGGTATGGGCGAAGTGAAAGCAGCGCTATCCCAGGCTAGCGGCGCTAGTACCTGGGCACCTGATTCCATTTTTCCTCGCTTTACACTCGCTCAGGCTCTAACGGCGCTACGCAACCGCACTTAGCGGCGCTACGCGCATAGCGGCGCTAGTACCTGGAATCCCCAAAAAATTTTCCAACTTTCACCGATTCAACACATCTTCCCGGTTGATCGACCACCCTACAACCTCAACTCTCAAATACCAAACATCAAGATCCGAGACTTCGCCTCTCAAATTCGGCTAGTACATTTGGATAGAGAGCAAAGATAGTGCGGTATACATGGGTTTTTACCTTCCGGACCACGAGGCATGGGGGTTGGTATTCATTTTCAAAGACCAATCGATTCCTTGCGTTCCAAATGAAGTAAATGGTGGCCGCTAGCGCCGCTTTCTTCAACTTGAATCTCCACCCCGTACCTTTCGCTTCTTTCTTGGTCCATTTGAGAGCGCCTTTAAGGGTTGATGGTCTATGCCGGAGGCTAACCCAAGTCCGTATCTCATCCCAAATTTCGGAGCTAAATGAGCACTCAAAGAAGAGGTGGCTCGAGGATTCATTGGCGATCCCACATAGAGGGCATGACGGGTCATCGTTAAGAAATTCAAGACGGTCTTTTGTCCGGAGTCGATTAAGCACACCTAGCCATAGAATGAAGGAGTGCCTAGGGGTATTGCATGTCCCCCAAACAACCCCACTCCATGGCCTCATGGGTCCTCTTGGTCATAAAAGGTTGTAGCATTTACTAGACCTATCTTGTCTATCTCGGGAATTCCAACCTCGAAGAAGGGCTTCCGCTCCTCGTTCACTTCCCGCTCTTTCTACCATGCTTTGTCGATGTCGAAGAGGGACTTGAAGAGAGGGGAGTCATTCGGTCTAACTTCTCATTCCCAAATGGAGTTCCCCTTCATATAAATGTTGCGAATCCATTTTTGCCACAATGTGTCCTTCTTTGCTTGCATGTTCCAAAGCGTCCGGGTGAGCAACGCTTGGTTCCACGCATTCAAATCCCTAAGCCCCAAACCACCTTCCAAGCACGGTAGACAAACACTATCCCAAGCCACGGGAGCACTCTTCGATCCCCAAAGGAACCTTCTACATAGTTGAGTGATTTTTGTTCTAACTATGCCGGGCAAGTGGAAGATTCCCATCCAAAAACACACAATGCCTTGGACCACCGAGCGTAGGAGTTCCAGTCTTCCAGCATAGAAAAAGGTATGTCCATTCCATCGACTAAGTTGTCCTTCGATTTGCTCAATCATATCATCAAAGAGTCTAGCCGTGACGCGGTCCGCGGTGAGGGGGACACCGAGGTACTGAAAGGGCATTGAGCCGCACCGTAAGTTGGTGTTGTCAAGGATTGTAGCCCGACTATCATCCTTGACACCAGCCAAGTAAATATTGGACTTTAGTACATTCATCTCAAGCCCCGACTTAGATCCAAAATCATTGAGGCAATCCATGAGAATTTGAATTGACAAGGGGTCTCCACGAGATAGAAGCATGAGGTCGTCGGCGAAGGCAAGGTGCGAGATTTTTAATTGCTCGCACATCGGATGGTATTTAAAGTTCGTGCCGACCGCCGTGTTGCTCTTGATAAGCCGAGAAAGGTATTCCATACAAATCACAAAAAGGAAAGGTGATCGGGGTTCAACTTGCCTTAGGCGGCGACCGCCTTTGAAGTGGCCCTTGAGGCTCCCGTTGATAGATATAGAGTAGGACAGGGTGGTGACACACTCCATGACCAATCTTGTAAAAACTGGGGGGAAGCCGAGCCCATCAAGCACTTGTTTCAGAACGACCAAGAGATGGAGTCGAAAGCTTTACGTAGGTCTATTTTAATGATACATCTAGGAGAGACCCATTTTCTTGAGTAGAGTCGAAGTAGTTGTTGCATTAGGTGTATGTTATCGGTCATATTCTTCCCTTTCACGAAAGCGGCTTGGGCCTCGTCTATGATGGAGTCAAGGACTTCGCTAACTCTCTTAGCAAGGATTTTGGAGCAAATCTTGTAAACCGTGTTACAACACGCGATAGGCCGAAAGTCCATAACTTGTGATGAGTGGGAGGACTTCGGAACAAGCGTGAGGGCCGTATGGTTCCATTGTTTGAGTAGTGAGCTGGAGCGGAAGAAATTTTGGATGGCTGCCACTACATCACCTCCAACGATGGACCAACTCTTCAAAAAGAAAGTAGAGGTATAGCCATCTGGACCCGGAGACTTACCACCCTCGATGTCTCCAAGTGTGTTCATGATCTAGTCTTTGGTGACCGGGGCAATTAGTGCTCTACAATCATCAACTCCGACACACGGTCCCGACCGAAGGATTTGGGGATCAACATTCTCCGTTTCAACTTCGGTTCCTAAGAGAGCCTCGTAGTAATGAACAAACTCTTTGGCAACTTCCTCCATGGATTCGGTGACGGTGTCGTCTTCCCGGTTGATCGAGGCGATGAAGTTTCGTTTTGCTTGCTTTTTGACCAAGCCATGGTAGAACTTGGTGCATTTATTCCCATTGATTTGAAAGTTGCATTTGGCTTTTTGTTGATAGAAGAGCTTCTCCGCTTTAGCCAATTTAAGAGCTTCAAGCCTAAGCATAGACATCTTGGCCTTGGTCTCGGGATCATCGGGTTAGTCATGGAGCTCTTGTTGTACATTCTTTAGGGCATTCTTCGCTTCTTTGTCCCGTGAGGAGATATGTGAGAAAGACTCCTCATTAAGGGCCTTAAGCGATATCTTAAGGTTCTTTAAATTGTTGGCGAGGTGGAATTGCCTTGAGCCACCACCACCATGGTTCCAAGAGTTCTGGGCATTCGGCAAGAACTGCTCGGGGGCCGTCCACATATTGAAGAACCGCCATGGTGACCCGGTAGTGTTCCTCGCCTCAAATATTGTAACTATGCAAGGAGAGTGATCAGAGATACCCGGAGCTAAGAAAGTCACATGCGAGAATAGGTCGGCATTCTCCCATTGAGTGTCCACCATTGCTCTATCAAGTTTCGACCAAACATGATTGTTGGACCAAGTGTGGTAGAAACCGCTTGAGGGGATGTCCGACAATCCCAAGGCGCCACAAACTTCCACAAGATCTATGGTGTCCCGGTTAGTGACTCTCTCCCCTTTAATTCTCTCCTCTAGTTTGAGGATAGCATTGAAGTCCCCGAGGAGCAACCAAGGCAAGAAGGTCCTCCCCCGGAAGACCCTAAGGTCATTCCACAACAACTTTCGATCTCCCCTCAAGTGTAGTCCATAAATAAAGCTAGCAATAAACAAATGGTTGCTAACCTTGCACGGATCTTTGCAAAAATGACTTGTGGCAAAGCGGCCTCTATCGTGATGTCAACCATCATGGGGTTCCATAGGATGGCGATGCGCCCCCAGTCAACAACATCAAAATTCTCACAAAAAGCCCAACCCGGCAACCTTCTATTCACAAAGAGAGATAGCCACCTAGTGTCGGTCTTCATTTCCAAGAGTCCCAAAACGTCAATATTATTTCTCCGGATGAGGTTTACCACCTCATCTTGTTTAAGGATCCAGTTAAAGCCCCTAATGTTCCATAAGGCGATAATCATTGAGAGGAAGAGGGTTGGCCCCCCTTCTTCATCGAATTCACCTTGCCCCCATCTCTCCTCCCGTTTGGTTTGTCTCTAAGTTTGGAGTATTGGCTCGTAGTTGCGGCGGCTTGGCTCGCGGCTCCACTACGGGTGAGAATCTTGTTATACTTACCTACCTCGTGGAAGGAGTCATCTTCATTATCCGGATGAGGGTTCTCGTGGACCTCCAAGTCTCCGGTTGGAGATGAGGAAGAACCGACATTCGAGGTCACCGCTTCTTTCCTTGTATTACAATCCCCGTTACCCTCTTTCTCTTGATCACCTTTATTTTGGTTTTCCTCTACGACCTCCACCTCCTTGGTTTTGTATCGCTCCACTTGTTCGTTGTTGGTATTTCCCCCTTTCTTACTTTGTTGTACATTTTTTTTTTGGTCCCCCTGCAACCTTGGTCACCATGGTTCCGGTTTCTCCGACCAGTTTCTTGCCCTCAGCTATTTTCTCAAGGTGGGTTTTATGCTTCCCACAATTGGAGGTAGAGTGTCCAATGTATTTGCAATGGTTGCAATATTGTGGGACATACTCATATTCTACTTTTTGCTCAAACATAAATTTCCCTTTGGATTTGACGGGAATGTTATAAACTCTTTCCTTGGAGAGGTCGAGCTCCACCAAAATTCGAGCGTAATTGCATCGGTCCCTTGTAGATGTGAGCTTGTCGGTTGTGATAGGCCTACCGACGCAAGAGGCTATCTTGCTAAGGGCATTGGTGCTCCAACAATTCCATGATAAGAGGGGGAGATTGATCCAAACGGGGATGGTTTTGATGTCATCCTCGCCAAATTGGAACCAATTGGGGAGCACTTTAAGAATGAGCCCTCGACCGTAAGTAGAGTAGGGGCCCCTTTGAAGGACCTTCTCTCTATCCTCTACATTTTTTAACTTGAAGACGATCCATCCATTCACATTTGGGATGTATTCATATTGGACTTCCCATGAGTTACATAGCCTCAACAATGCTTCCTTGCCCGGGTGCCTTTGGGTAAAGTACCCGACAAGGCAAAAGCCCCACGTGCTCGTAACGTCCAATAGGTCATCGTCGTCTAGGTCCACTCCATTATCCGGTGGAATGTAGTTTAGTTTGAGTCAACCGATAAGTACAGAGGCAAGCCAAATGACTAAACAAACACCTGCCCTCTTGCACAGAAGAGATGAGGGCAAGTTAGAAGAGACAAGATAAGATCACATAAAATTGTAAAATTTTTTGTAGTAGGCGATTTCCAGCAAAAATTGGATGATAACAAGGTGCGATTTTTGGCCGGCGGAATCGGCCGGCGATCCCAAAATTTTGAATCCGCTGCGTGTATGATTAATTTTTTATGGTTATCAATTAACTAACAATTAACTGACAATCTTTGTCGAATCCAATAGGTAGGTGATTGTAATAGCTAATTTGACTTGCAGATTGTGTTAGTTTTTTTTTTTTTTTAAATAATTATTTGTTAATAGCTGGATTGTATACCGATTTTAAAAATCTCATATTAACATGTATTATACGAATAATCTCATCTCAAAACGCTCACCGTATAACTATTTTTGAAATCTCCTGCGAAATTTTATTATATGAATTATCTTTTTTCCAAAACGCTCGTTTTGTTAACGACCAATTGTATAACTATTTTGAAAATATAGCATTGAAATGTTATTTCACGAATCCCTATCATCAAACGCTAGCTTTTTGATAATTAGCAAACGAACGACACCCCTTCACTAAAACACCTCCTTGACTTGATGGCTACGTTTACAGAGCCTTCGACATGACTACGACAAGATTGGGACAAACAAGATATAAATGATTATGGACATACCAAACTTTTGAAATCTTTCTTTATCAAACTCTAAATGAGATTCAATCCGCTAAATTTATACCAAACTACTAACATTCAAACAAGTCCACATAAGAACGAGAAATGATTATTACGTTCAATGTTTTAAAGGCGTCGCCTAGACGTCCAGGCGATGAAAATATCAGGGCGTCGGGTCTCGCCTAGTCAAGTGCCATATGGCGTCCGCCTCGGCGCCTAAGGCGTCCGCCTTTCGCGTTAGTCGTCGCAGGCGTCGCCATCCAGCCTTAGGCGGTCGCCATACGCCATGCGGCGGTCCCCTTCTTTTGATTGCATGTGGTGGTCCCTTGCTTTATTTGTTTGTATATAAAACAGAGCAGATAGCACATCACATGGGTACAACTGTTGCTTTGTCTACTTGCACTTTGATTTGTACTAGATCACATGAGTATAGTTGTAATTTACTACTTCGTGTGGTGTCCTATGCCTCTATAATAGCACTGCATATTTATGCCTATAATTTGAATTTTTATTGGTATTATATATTAAATTGTTTATATGGCGTCGCCTAGGCGATCGCCATATTCGCCTAGGCGTCCGGAAGGGGGTCGCTCGCCTCGCCTCGCCTTACTGCCTTTAAAACTATGATTACGTTGGTTTTGTTATGGAGATGGCTAGACATATGGAGTCATCTATTATTATTTATAAATGATGTTTTGACATGTGTCTTGCAATAAATATACATTAAACATGTATCAGTACATGATTCTATAAGAGAGTCATCCAATAGCTAATTAATGCTATTCACATAACATGCAAGGTAAAGTTTTCTACAACTAGCCATTTACTAACCTTTTTTTTTTCCACAATATGCTAGTTAAATTTGTTATTAAATGACTTTTTAGGCAAACGAGACCCATATAGTAAACAAGATCGGACCCCACCCGAGAAATCCGTTTCATAACCGCGTCTACCACTGTAATTAAAAGAAATTCACAGTGCCATTTTCATCTGGAATTCATTCAGCCATAACCGTCAACGCTTCTTCATCATCTGCCGCCGGCTACTAAACCCTTCTCCAAGATTTTCAGCTCAATTTACACCCTTTTTCCGGCGATTATAATCATTTTTGGTCACCTCAAGGATCAGCTCCGATGTCGGTGAGTCAACGCATCACCTTGTTCTACCTGTTTCTATTATTTTTCGGCGTATTTTTTATTGATTACACGTTTTTTTTTTTCCTGTTTTTCAGTGTCTGACCAATCTTGCTTTCTGGAATTTGTGTTCTCTTTTTTATTGGTTTTGAAATTTTTAAGCGCCAAGTTAAATTGTTGTGTGTTGGTGCTGATGTGATGATTTTAGCTTTTATTTGGGTATAACTTGGAAGTAGTTCAGTGTGATTATCATTTGTGTAATGTTTGTTATATAAATGTGGTTCGATGTTTAGAGGTTTTGATTTCTGGGATGGAATGTGGATCAAGTTGTAGCGACCTTCTCCTTCGAAGAACAAATAATTTGTAAGAATCGAGCGTATGCTATAAAAGGCAATAGGATACACGGCTCATGGGAAAACACCATTATTGTACTTCTTTTGTTTCATCTGAAAAGCTCGACTATAGCAAAAGAATATAATTGATAAAGGGCACATAAAGGGTGCCAAATGGCTGTGGTGGATTAACATTCATGGCCTTCATTTTGCTAAACAAGATAAGAGCTCCTCTTTGTTGCTTTCCTACCCCAGCATTTATTATTCAATATGAATTGGAAAATTCAGTTCCTAGATACCACATACGGACTTTCGAGAATGGAGTGAATCCTAAGATATATATATCCCTTGTGAAGGATTTGGAGATTGAAGAGTGGTCTTTTTCTTGTTGAGACGTGTAGGCATTAGAAGAGGAAGAAGCCACTGCAAAATATAAAAATTTCGTTTCTGAATGCAGAAATTGTTGCTCGTTGGGATGTTTGTAATCTATTCAGAAAGAAACAACCATTCACTAGCACAAGTTGCTCTCGTCAATGCCAAAACTGTAAAGTGTAGGTTTAAAGTAAACTAAATGATAACTTGATTGGATTTTGCGAGCGACAAACAGTTTCAGTTGCATTTTTGAGTCTGAGGTCAACTAAAAATATTTGTTTTGTTCGACCTTCCTCCAAATGAATGGTAGCAGCTGAACCAAATGTCACGTATTTGATTTTATTCTAAACATAGTTTGTCAGTTACGTTAAAAGTTAGATTTTGTTTATATGATAAACACTATTATATTGACGTGATTTGGTGATTGTCAGAACACCTGTCCGTATCTTTGCGTGAGACCTTGATTCATGGGTATGCTCGTTTGTCTATCTGCTTATTTCCAATGGTTTAAACAGATGATCTCAAACTGTGTTAGAATGAAGAACAATAATGTACCATGGAACATTAATGCCTCGATATTATGTCTTTAGAAACTTTTACATGAAAAGAGCCTTTGGTTAGTCTTTATGGCAGTTATCTTAAAACTAAAAAACAAAAAGTAGAGAACTCTGTGGATATGTTTCATACATTGTATTGAGCTCCCTTTTGATAATGCTCTTCTGGGAGGCTTCATTTAATATCGAGCAGAAGTGTTGTTTGTTTTTCCCGATTGTGTTCCTATTTTGAAATTTGAAAATCCATATCTGCTACTTACTCGATCATTTTATTGATGAGTTGATACGGTTTCTTGAACAAAATTGTGAATTATGCTCAAGCTGGTGAATATGATGTTAGTTAATTGAAACCATCTTGTGGCCTTCAAATCAGTATCACGTGTTTACAATGTCCTGCTCTTTGTGCTCATTCATCCATCTTTTCTTTTTTTTGATTGGTCATCTTGGATTTCTGTTTATGTTTCAAACCATGGAGCTGTTACTTTTCCAATAACATAGAACCAAGTGCTTATATAAAAAACACAAAAAATTATTCGGTTACTCACAGATCTGCTAAATTGATAAGTTGGTGTTAAAATATGTATTGGAATTTGGATAGACATACTTCTTTTTACCTGTGTATCCCCTGTTTCGAATGCCACACGTTTTCTTGGGGAAATTTATCTGAATGTTGTCTATCTTAATAGGTCACAACTGTCAAGGTCAGCAATCTCTCTCTGGGGGCATCTGACCGTGATGTGAAAGAGTTTTTCTCCTTTTCTGGTGATATTGAATATGTGGAGATGCGAAGGTTATTTTAGTATTGCCGTATATTTTTCCCTTCCTCTCTCTCTCACACACCCACACTACTCAGACATAAACATTCTTGTGTGTATTAGTTAATCTTGACACATTCATATTTATTGCATGTGTCTTTCTTCTGTAGTGATACCGAACGGTCTCAGATTGCATTTGTGACCTTCAAGGATGCACAGGGCGCAGAGACTGCAGTTCTTCTCTCGGTAGCTCTCTTTCTCGCTGTTTGTGTGTGTGTGTGTATGTAAAGGTTCTTTTACCTTGTCATTTCATTTCATTTTTCTTGAGGTTTATCTTGCTCTATAATGTTGCTTCCAACTTCGGGGTCGCTCTTTTTCTTTCGGGGTGATGAGTAAATGAAACACGTAACATAACCAGAGACAATATTGTGGTACTGAAGCTAGAGGTCACAAGTTTTTCTTGCGATGATTTTGTAACAATTTCCTTTTTCAGCTAAGAATTAATTTTTTTTTTTTTATTATTATTATTAACAATGCTCTTATATCAGTTTTGTCAAATTACCTTGCTCTTGACCCAAGATCATCATAATTTTTCCTCTATCTCTTGTAAAGTCACTCTTCACTTCATGCCTCCATTAATTGTCTTTTCTCGAACTTTCCAATCTCAGGGTGCCACAATTGTCGACATGACCGTCGAAATTAATCCCGACCCCGACTACAAGCTCCCTCCCGCAGCTTCCGCTCCTCCTCCGGTAAAACTGATTCTCTTCTAAACACAAAATTCTCATATTATCGCTCAATAAATAAAAAAATAGTCATAATAATAAAAATCCCCCATTACACGAACTTCAATTTTTCAACAGGCATCGGAAAAGAAAACCGAGTCTGCCTTCCAGAAGGCAGAGGACGTCGTGAGCGGCATGCTCGCCAAGGGCTTCATCCTGGGCAAGGACGCCATTAACCGAGCCAAGTCGTTCGACGAGCGTCATGGGCTGACCTCCACTGCCAGCGCAAAAGTCGCATCCCTCAACAACAAGGTACGTGAGGTCGACGAGAAGCTCCAGGTGTCCGAGAAGGCCAAGTCAGCACTAGCGGCTGCCGAGCAGGCGGCCGCCACTGCCAGCTCAGCCATCATGAAGAACAGGTACGTGCTGACGGGGACTACGTGGGTGGCGGGGGCCTTCAGCAAGGTGGGCCAGAGGGCAAAGGAGAAGGATGGTAGTGAGGCTGAAGACGAGGAGAAGCGGAAAATTGTGGACGATTTTGCCCAGGTTCATTTGCCCGAGTCTCCCAAAGGGTCGGATTCGGGTGAGCAGCGCTCGACTAAGCCTGCCCCGGCTCAAGGTTTAATTCTCTGATGTTTTTCTTGATCATGATTTAATCCAAAGTCAGTGGAGAGATGGTCAATCTGTGGAAGGAATTTTGTTACTTTGTTACGACTTATGACTGTTTTTCTGTCTGTACTCTGTAGCTTCACAAATAAATATCGAGGGGGAATTATAAGGAGTAATCGTGATGGACGATTTCTTGAATTTTTTTTTTAATAAAATGAATTTTTATTTGAGTTTAGCGAGTGTGTCTGAGACATAGTTTTTTAACCCGGGCCCGACATCTGTCGGCCCGGGACCCGACCGGGCAACAAAGGACCCGACCGGGCAACAAAGGACCCGGTCAAACTCGGTCAAAACCCGGACAAACTGGCCTTGACCCGGCTGACCTGGGGCATTGACTCGACTGGGTTAACCCGGTTGATGTCTGTTGAGTTTATCGAGTGTGCCTGAGATGAGCCTTTTGCTGGCACAAACAGTGTTTCTGTTGACATGGAGAAGTTGATGTCCGTTGAAATCGCGTAGTATTGGTCTGTAAATATACGAAATGACCATAAATAAACAATATATATATATATATATGGATAATTCAAACTTAATTATTGTTAGATTAGGAGTAAATTAAAATATACTCAAGTTTAATAATAAAGTATGTAATTTTATCACGTAGGATCACGAATCATTAGAGAAGACTCAGCACTTTCTGAATTAATGTATATGGGGAGGGAGATTTGTCTATAAATATAAATTGAGGCCCAGGCCGTCCAAAATAAATTGACCGGGCCTTAATCCATCCAATGGGCTGACGTGGCTGTGGTAGTGGGGCCGAAGGCCTTATGGCAATCAAAGTATGTCAAGATAGTAGTAAGTAGTAGAGTATTAATAAAAAAAGGATACTCATTTCTTTCTCATTTGAAGCACTTTCTCATTTCTTTCTTTTTTTTTTTTATTTATATGTAAAAGATACTCAGTCGTCACTTGTACAATTTAACCATGTTTTATATTATAATAACTTTTTTTAATTAGATAATGGACTTGATAGATAATCTTATTTAATTGATAACTAATTTATTATTTTGTAATTAATACTGATAGATAATTTAATTTTTATTATAAAGGTAAGTATATGTTTATTTAATATATACAATGTGAATGACAAATTGAAACTTGTCAATGAATGATGTACTTCATATATCATATATGAAAACCGTTAAAAAATCGAAAGTTATTGAATTCTAAAATATATTTATAATTTAAGTTGAATAAACATTTTATAATTATAAAAACCACCATATTTTATATGACTATTCCGAAACTGATTTACGACCACAAAAAATCGATCCATACAATCAAGAAATAACAAAAGTTGATACATAAAATTACAAAAGAACTCAAAATTGACACATAAATTTAAACATTAGATTACAAAAAAAAAAAAAAAAACATTGAAAGTTGACATATAAGTTTGAAAATAAAAAGTTTAAAAACTCTGCATTGGGAGAGCGGTTAGTTATTTTTCAAACACCTAAAACCAATTTTAAAAAGTAAAACCTAAATACGCTTGAAGGATTCAATAAAGATTGAGACATGGCCACGGCTCATCCGGTACTGACCAGGCCTGGTCCGACCCGGCTACAGGTCCATTCGTCCCGGATTTTAATCGAGTCGGATAATGATTAGCCATTTTGAACATGTCACTCGTCGGGTTGGGCTGCATCCGAATGGGTCGGACCAGACCATTCAAATCAACGTTTTCAATTTTTTTAGGACGTTGTGCCGATTCAGGGTCGGTTATTTTTAACCCGGCAGCCCAAAATTTGGTCATGTCTAAATACGGGTGCAACAGAAAATAGAAATCACCGTTAGACGAATTATACATTTTTTTAACAAATATGCATATTTTTATAAATAAATGACATGCTTTAAGAATAATGTAAATAAAAATATGATATTATATGCAATTTTTTTCTAATAAAATAGAATGAATGTACTCAAATATTCAATTTATTTATACTTGAATTTGTCTAGACTTTTTGTTACTTATTGAGATTTAAAAGACAATATACATATACAAAAAAAA